CCCCGCCGCCGATCCCCAAGGATCGTCGCAAGGCCGATGACGAAAAGCTGTTGATAAACGTGAGCGGCCGTCGCTTCGAGACTTGGAGGAACACCCTCGAGAAGTATCCGGACACTCTTCTCGGTTCGAACGAGCGCGAGTTCTTTTACGACGAGGAGAGCAAGGAGTACTTCTTCGACCGTGATCCAGACATCTTCCGTCACATACTCAACTATTATAGAACCGGTAAGCTTCACTATCCGAAGCACGAATGTCTGACGAGCTACGACGAGGAGTTGGCGTTCTTTGGTATCCTGCCGGACGTGATCGGCGATTGTTGCTACGAAGATTATCGCGATCGGAAACGGGAGAACGCGGAACGTTTGATGGATGACAAGCTGAGCGAGAATGGGGATCAGAATCTTCAGCAGTTACTCGACATCAGGCAAAAGATGTGGAGGGCATTTCAGAATCCACACATCTCGACGGCGGCTTTGGTATTTTACTATGTAACCGGTTTCTTCATCGCCGTGAGCGTGCTGGCGAACGTGGTCGAGACCGTGCCGTGCGGTAATCGTCCGGGACGCGCCGGTACGCTTTCATGCGGCGAACGTTACAAGATCGTCTTCTTCTGTCTGGACACCGCGTGCGTTATGATATTCACCGCGGAGTATCTGTTGAGGCTGTTCGCGGCCCCGAGTCGGTGCAAGTTCGCGCGATCCGTCATGTCCATCATCGACGTGGTCGCCATCCTCCCGTACTACATTGGTCTCGGCATCACCGACAACGACGACGTATCCGGTGCTTTCGTTACGTTGCGCGTCTTCCGTGTGTTCCGGATCTTCAAGTTCTCCAGGCACTCGCAAGGTCTAAGGATTCTCGGTTACACCTTGAAGTCTTGCGCCTCGGAGCTTGGCTTCCTCGTCTTCTCCTTGGCCATGGCCATCATCATATTCGCCACAGTGATGTTCTACGCGGAGAAGAACGTCGATGGAACGAACTTCACCTCGATTCCTGCCGCATTCTGGTACACCATCGTCACGATGACTACCTTAGGGTGAGTTGTGATTTGCATTTCGCTTTTCTTCGGTTTAATAATCTGGCTTCCGAGTCAGCCACAGAAATTTATTTGTATCCTGTGGCAATTTAACCTGAACTCACGCGACGAGCGAAAATGTTTTCTCTTAACGCTCGCCAAAGATTTTACAATGTTAAGATCTAGTTTAGATACACCGCTTCTTACTTCCTTGACTTTTTGTTCTCGAGTCTTTCTCGTGCTTCCATGAAAATTCCGAGAAAAACAATGCGTCATATAATTTTTTGAGATAAGAATGTATCGAATAACGAAACGTTAAAAGTAACATATCTCGACTTAATATGGAACTCTAACGTTATCGGGAATGTACGGAGTACCGAGATAGCCAGGATAACTCGTAGCTGCGACTGGATATGTGTCGAATGAAACAGAAGTAACGGGTGCATCTGTGAAAGTAATTGGCTCCGTGTAAACCGCCCGAAGCTGGAACAAGTACCAGTCTCCAGTGATATTTTTAAACAGAGGTCGTTGTCGACCTTTTTACCTCGAAGAGCTACGCTGCTTTTTCTAAATATCTACAGTAAAGTAGAAGCACCGACCCCGAAAGTCTCGCTGACAATTTCTTCCACGTCTCTCGCGTTTTAACCCTTTCCGTTTTCGTCGTAAACTTATCTGCCTTCCTTTCCCTCCTTGGCTGTGAATTAAAGTGACCGATCCTTTCTGTGCTTTCTCAAACAATGTGGCCACGAAACCGGGAGAATCCCGACTCTCGTGTTTGTTTTTAATCTCCCAAAAACGCTACCTCCTTCGCGAAAGGGAGAAGTTCGTTCTCTATCGCAAACTAAATTCAATTCTTTTTTATTTTTTCTTCGATTTCCCAGAGGCGTGTTTCTCCTTTTTTAGTCAGAATATTGCAGAGGGAGGAACAACGTGGTTTTTATAAAAGTTTGAACGTTGCGAATACAGCAGAATTGATAAAGAGCGTTTAAAAAATTCAACCATCTCTTTTTTTCGGTTTTATTACCTATCGATGAATAATGTCTTGTTTTCCGTATAGCAGCTGAACCATCTTTCGCGTAATATAAGAAAAACTGGATATTTACGGGAAGCGACGGAACGATGAAAAAATTAGGGAATTTTCTCTCTACACCCAACAGATTCATACAACCACTCGGAAATATTAACGTTCCCAGGGGATCAAACTCTATACGAATTCTCGATACAAATTTCGTCGCATTTCGTCGTCCCTCGACGACCCCCTGTATCGGAAATAATAACGTTAGGGGAATGACGACAGTAGGTATAGTGGAAAAATTCAGTCTGTTCGCTTCCGGAAAGGGACAACGTCCTATCTCTATCTTCCTCTATTTCCGACCGTCAAACGAAATCTATGTCAATGGTATTTTCATTTCGTTTTCGCACGGACAGCTGACAATCAGCGTAATCTTAGTCGCGCAGCGGGTGGTCTGGTTTAGGTGGTCTTGTCGTTCGTGCGAGAGCCAAATTCGTGTTCACGTCGTATGTTGAACGGAAAATGCTTCAGGCTGATCCCGTTGCTCGACTTTCATCCATCGTGATCCAATTTGAAATTTAGGAAGTGTAAAAAGGCTCCAATGAATCGGAGTGCTCTTTCGCAATTCTAACACCTCTCTGCCTCTCTCGAACAAGCGTTCGTTCGAGCCAACTATCCAGCCGTGGCTAGTCGTTTTAAAAAGTTACTGCGCCAAACTGCGTTTCCTCTGATCCACGATCACGCCGGCAGCATATATAGCCTCGTTGAGCTACGAAGTTTTTCAACGGCTACGAACAAGTTGATAGTTTCGATAACGAGATTCAGAATAGCCCGGATGAATAGATTTATCATTCGCGTGCAATCGTTTTGCGGCGAGATCGAAAGAAACAACAATGGACGGTTGATTAATCAATTTTTCCGATGGACGCAGATCGAGGAATGTATGTGGTTCATTAAAGGATAATCACGATTCATTATTGCACAGGTTAGGACGCGGCCATTCTGATACAAGCGTTCCATCGATGGAATTAATAATAGGCAGCGTTTTCACATTGTCCTCGTTAATTACATATTGCGATTTAGACTGCTCTCTGTCTTCTTCTTCGTCCGTCTCTTCGTTCTTGTCTCTCTCGAGTGCTCGTAGTTTCATTTACGCTTCAGCACGTTGCTTTTGATAATTTTAATCGCGCAAATCGTTAAATTGTCGCACGCGTTTAAATGCATAAAACACGACTGTTGAGAGAAATCGATTAGAACTCAGGTGTGATTCCGATTCTGATCGGATGGTTTTTTCCAATCTTCTCCTTCTTTCTTCCAGATCCGCTTCCGATATAAAACTTCGTTACATTCTACTGCGAATTAAAAAATATGTCTTGTCAATTAATTTCGTTTATATATACACTGGGTGACGAAATTTGATTTAAAGCAAAGTTGAACATCGAATACGTTAGACAGATGCAGGCTCTTATCGCGAGTTCCGTTCTCGAGCGTACAGGTATGCTGGTTCGCTTTCAAATTGGCCGCAAAAAAAAAAAAAAGAGAAGTTCGCCTTCGAAAGCTGCGTCGTCGTTTGTTACACTCCGTTTATCCTTTCGACGTATTTTTCGATAAAACGTGAAAAGGGCGAACGAATACTCTGCTGACTGAAATTACTGGGGCATCGCGAGAGAAAAATACAATGCCTCTGTTGCTACTGTAAATATTTTTCGGTTTAAATAAACTAAATGACTATGTCTTGGGAAACAAGAATGTTACAGGAAAGGTGGAAACAATAAATGGAACGTAATGCTACGGAAAAAGATTTTATGTATTACCATTGCGTATAAATTGGATTTCAGTTTGAATGTAAATTCGAGTTTGGATGTGAATTCGAGTTCGAATGTTTGAATTTCGATTATTTCAATTCGAATGTTTGAATAAAAATAAAAGTTCGAGTGGAAATATAATCGTCGATTAGAAGAAACTGACTGCTGAATGTCGGTGCATACTTATTTGCTGTGAACTCACGATCGATCGTGAGCTAACGTCGCCAGTTTTTTCCTATGTCAGCGGCAATCGCCTCTCAGCTTGCGTGTCCAGGCTAGTCCAGGTCGGTTCCTTCAAACTTTAACGAGAAGGATCAACAGGTGCCTCGAGGATTTCTCTAGCAGTCTTCTAACGCGATACTTTTCAAATCTATTTGAACGCCAGACAAATGGTCGTTGTATCGAAATTCCTACCACGACTGGTTTACTGTATCGAACTTCCATTCCTATTAACTGGTAGGATATACCGCCGGTTCGACGATTGACGATGCTTTTAGTCTGACTGAGAACTTAGATAAATCTTCGATTATACGTTACAGTTTCCTGCGTTTCGATAAGTGTCAAAAAAGAGAAAGGTTGTCTTTTGATGATGAAAATATCAAGCCACGGTACCCATAAATTTCCATCTCCGATATTAATTTACGTTTCTCATGGAACGCAGTTTGGCTCTTTGCATCGTGCTATTCATTCAGCTTTGGCTTTTCAAGCTCGCTTTCGAACAGAATCTGGGATCGCTGTTCGAGTTCCATTACGGTGGTATGTTAATTAAGTTTTGTATGTTGCCATAGACAAAGTTCCATGCTTGTTCAGTATCCCTGTAGCTACCTCTCTTTTTTTCTTTTTGAAGAATATCTAAATTTTATAATATAAATAGCGTCGCACTTTTTTCATACTTTCAATGCAGTACGTTTCTTTCCTATCGTTTTTGTTCTTTTCGCTTTATAACGTAGCCGAGTCCTCTTTGCCATAAAACGAACAATACTTACTCTTGAAATCTCGTTTCGTACATTTTCTTTCGCGTGGCCCATTTTTTCGAAGAAGTCGGTGATATGACATGCGCGAACGTATCAGGAAGAAAGTAAAAAGAAACGAGCCATTGAGGCTGAAACATCTCTTTTCACCTTGGTTTGCCAATTTTCTTCTCACCTCGTCTCAGTCATTGTTCCCCTTTCCAAATCAACGAAATTCTCTCCTCCGTTATCTGCAGCCTCCAATTTTCGCACGGTCGAAAATAACAGAGCGAAAAAACATGCAAAAATTGCACAACTTCGATCGGGCCAGTTACTTCTGTAACTGCACGCTGCGGTGGTGCAGCGTCGCGCGTGCATTGCGTACAATTCATGCAGTTCACGTCACAGAAAAGGGAAAGGTTATCTCGTTCCCGTGAAAAAATGTGCATCCTTTTTGAAGAGCGGAAAACGCGGTAGAAAGTACGAGTCATTAGAAACTAGCACAAAATGTTACTACAGAGAAAACGATACGAATGGTAAAACGGTGAAGGTGGAATTATTATTTTTAAAAGAAGATATTTGTTTGCTTGACGCGAGCCTACGAGTTCGTATTTCGTATCGAACCAGTGTATAAAAAGATGAGTTCTGGAAACAGATTTGTATACGATGCGCTCCATATTTGACGATGCGCGAAAGAATTTCGAATTTTCTGCATCGCGTGCGAAACTTTGGAGCAACGTTGCTGAAACGAATATATCTCATGGAATAAAATATTGCGCGGTTTTTGTTAAACGAAAAACACACTTATGCAATTTTTCGAACCTTGATCATCTTTTTCAGATTTTTTTAAAACAATTCTGTATCGAATTTTGTACGTTGTTATTCGTTAGTAACGAACTGTAATAGTTCGTTCGATTTCGTAGCAGGCACAGCTGTTTTATTTCGATAAACACGAGTATGCTTCTCGTAGTTGGCATTTTTATCGGTTGCGAACGTGGATAAAGGAAGTTGTTTCGGAAAAAGTTCACACGACGAGGCATTAAGGGATTTGTGGGACAATCAACTCCGTCTCGTAAAAGGAAGAAAAACTACGGTTAGCTTCGACTTTCCCAGCTATTTTCCTCCTGGATATAGATATCCAAACGCGCAGTTTGTACTCGTTTCGAATCGCCAGCCGATTTTAGAACCTCGTGGCCGATTCAATCACGGATTCGTCTATCGGTCAATCTTCCACCGATAGCTTCGATCGTAACC